TGCCAGCTGATGGCGCTGCTGGGCTGGGTGGGGACAGCACCCGGTGAGTGTCACCCAGTGTCACCCAGTGTCACCCAGTGTCACCCAGTGTCACCTCCCAGTGTCACCCAGTGTCACCCAGTGTCACCCGTGTCACCCAGTGTCACCCAGTGTCACCCAGTGTCACCTCCCAGTGTCACCCAGTGTCACCCAGTGTCACCCATGTCACCCAGTGTCACCCGTGTCACCCCCGTGCCACATGAGTTGTCCCCAGGGGTGTCCCCAGGGGTGTCCCCAACTTTGTCCCTTTGGGGTTCCTGTCCCAGGGCTCTCCCCTTGGTGTCCCCTCGATGTCCCCAAGCCCTGGTGACACTGAGGTGACCCCTGGGGACCCCTGGTGACCCCTGGTGACCCCTGGTGACCCTTGGTGACCCTTGGTGACATTCCCCGGCAGGTGACAGCCCCGTGGTCCTGCTGGGGGTGGTGGCATCTCCAGAACATCCCCACAGGTGTCCCCAGGGGTGTCCCCAACTTTGTCCCTTTGGGGTTCCTGTCCCTGGGCCTGTCCCCTCGCTGTCCCCTCGATGTCCCCTTGATGCCACCCCCTGGTGACCCTTGGTGACACTTTGGTGACCCTCTGGTGACATTCCCATGTCCCAGGCCATGTCCCTGCTGCTCCAGGGGTGTCCCCAGAAGTGTCCCTAGAGATGTCCCCAACTTTGTCCCTTTGGGGTCCTGTCCTGGGGCTGCCCCCTTGATGTCCCCTTGATGTCCCCAAGCCCTGGTGACCCTTGGTGCCCCTTGGTGACATTCCCCGATGGGTAACAGCCCCATGGTCCTGCTGGGGGTGGTGGCATCTCCAGAACATCCCCACAAGTGTCCCCAGAAGTGTCCCCAACTTTGTCCCTTTGGGGTTCCTGTCCCTGGGCCTGTCCCCTTGATGTACCCAAGGTGTCCCCTCGCTGTCCCCTCGATGTCCCCTTGATGCCACCCCCTGGTGACCCTTGGTGACATTTTGGTGACACTTTGGTGACATTCCCATGTCCCAGACCATGTCCCCACAGCTCCAGGGGTGTCCCCAGTGGTGTCCCCACAGGTGTCCCCAACTT